GCCCTCCCCGCTCCCCAGCGCTATCGTGGTGATGACCTCGTTCAGAGCCTGAAAGATGTGTGGTGGTGGTGTGTGTGGGGGGGGGCAGGGCAGCGGTGTATGGGTGGGAAGCGCAGGCAGGCGTCACACGCCAGCCGGGCATGCTGGGAGGAGGCCCGCGCCCCCGCTGCCTGCTCACACCCACATCCAAGGATGTGCAGACACACAACCGCACGCCGCAGGCACGCAGGCGTGGTCACCTTGAGCAGCTGGTACAGCTGCTTGGGCGTCTTCGCCTGGGCATGCACGTGCTGCAGCAGCAGGGGCAGGTAGGCGCCCAGGTTGCCCGCCGCCACGCCGCCCAGCGCCATCGACGCGCTCTCAGCTATCAACTCTGCGGCAGGCGGGAGGGGGGCGGGGAGCAGGCGGGGTGGAATGGGCTCGGCAGGCCGGCGAGCAAGGGAGGCACACCGGACAAGAGCTTAGGATCTGGCCGGCTAGCAACCGCTGGTGCGCCAGCCGGCTATGGTGGCAGGGAGCAGCAGCGCCCTGCCGGCCACCCATGTAGCGATCCGCGCAGGCGCCATGCTTGCAGGCTGAGCCGGTGCCGCACCCGAGCCCAGCGCTGCGGTGAGCGCGTCTGGCAGGGCGGGGAAGGCGGTGAGGTCTGCGCGGCGGCCCAGCTCGCCGATGCACAGCAGGGCAAAGCGCTTGGAGTTGTCGTCCTGCTTGGCGTCCTGCTCGGGGCGGGAGCGAGGAGGAGGGGAGAGGCGCAGAGAGAGGGCGTGTGACGCATGCGTCGGCTGCTGGCGGTGGCAGTGCGGCTGTTGATGGCATGGCGGCGGCTGGTGGGGGTGCAGCGGCAGCATGGGTCGGGCTGGCGGGGATGGCGGCGCCTCGTGCTGCCCTGGCCCTGCTGCTCTCCCCCCCCCCGCCCACACACACACACCCACACACCTACCTGCAGCGTGGCCAGCAGGCGCTGCACAGTGGCGCTGACGCCGGCCTGCCCCGCGGCCGCGCTCAGCACCGCAAAGCACTGCGCCGCCGCGTGCTGGGCGCTCTTGCTGGCTTCCGGGTCTGCGGGCGTGGGGGCGGGGAGGGCAGGGGGCGCGCCAAGCGCCGGCTCAAGGACAGCGCAGGCTGGCTGGCTGCAGCGAGCTGCCCTGGCAGGTTGGGAGGGAGCGGGCACGAGGAGCAGGGCTCAGGGCAAGGCTGGCAGGCAGGCAGGGTGCGGCGCTGCGTGCCCCCACCTGTGCCTGCCGCCGACAGCTGCGCCAGCAGGCTCTCGGCTGAGGCGCCGGCTGCCGCGCTGCCCACCAGCGCCTGGAAGAAAGACTGCAGCGCCTCCAGGGCGGCGCCTGCGCCGGGGTGGGTGCGTGGCGGTGCGTTGGCGGAGGCGTGTGTTGGCGGGGTGGAGGGAGGGAACACAGGCGTGTGTGGAAGAGGCGAGTGCAGGGCCACAGGCCCCGGGAGGCGTGCTGGAACCAGGCGGCACCATGCCCACCACCGACCTAGGCGGTACCACTGCCCTGCGATGAACCAGCACCCCCTCTGCCCCCCGCGGCGCTCTGGCGAGCCCCCACCTTGCAGCAGCGGCGACTTGACCAGGGCGATGGCCTGTGGCAGCACCTGTAC